GTATCAGGGGTAGGAGATGTGTTCAGACTGAGGCAGAACCATGTACTAAACAGTTCGCGAATAACAGCTTCGTCATAATAAGTCTGTCCATCATGTAATATAGAATGCATTTTGCGATCTGAGTACTTTTTTATGCGCTTGTTAAACAAACGACAGAGGTTTTGGGACTTATACGCAGTAGCGAGAGCATTATTTTCTTCGATTTGCTTACGCACTTCATGTTGGCATTTCACACCTTCAAGTATAGCGTAAGTTTGGTACAGGATGCTGAAGTCCTTAGATTTGCAATATGCCCTAGCTTTATAGGTAACTGTTTTGAAAGACGTTTTGAGTGGTATAGTAGTGTCTAGAGCAGGTTAAATGGTGACACTGAATATGTGTAATGCATCAGGAAATTCAAGACAAGAAAAAAAACGCAGTCCAGTCGGAGTGCTGAATTAGAAACCGAAAGCTGTCCCAGTCAGCATGTTCATAGCCTCTGAATTGAAAACGGTTTACTGTTTTAGATTTGTCACATTTAGCAAAAAACGGAAGGGTACAGAGGACAATTTTATGGTCACTGTTGTGAAACTTTTCGCAGACAGCCACAGATGTTGGGGTGACATCGTGACGAAATACCAAATCGAGAATGTTGTGGTTTCTAGTAGGCAGGTGCACATGTTGTTGCCAACCATGTGTGTCTAGGGGACCAAGTAAGCTATCAAAGCGTAGTGGACCGGAATGTGTCTGCCAGTTGATTCCAGGGAGGTTGAAGTAACCACAAATAATTTTGCAGGCGAACTCAAAACAGGCAGTCCTGGCAAACGACTCACCAATAGCAACGTCAACCGATCGATGAGTGTTTGGAGCTCGATACATGCATCCGACCAGTATTTCACATTCATGGGCGTGAACGGTGAGCCATATGGAATCAGGCACTTGATTATGAACAGTATCATAAAACATTTCTGCTTTGATGTCTCTAGATGCATAGATGAGGCAACCACCAACCTTTTTAGATCCTAGGTCACTGCGAAAGAGTTCATAAGAGTCTATTAGAGGGTATGAGTCAGGGACATTGGAGGACAACCAGCTTTCAGTAATCAGGACAATGGAAGGATTGTTGAGAATTATCAGAGAGCGTAAGTGAGTAATCTTATTGTTAACAGATCGGGAATTAATTAGCATTAGTGCTACATAGGATGAATACTCATTTTTCAGGGATGCACGATGGGCATCTGGAGGGTTGTATGTTGCGTGTTCTGAAGGAGGGCTGGAAGTATGAATATAGGCTTGATTGTTATGGTCAGTTAATTTGTGAGCGATATAGTTAGAGGGAGAAAGGTATTCAGAGACAGGCATGGTGAGAGAAGCATGTGAGGTAGGATATGATAAGTGTCGTTCGTCAGAGTTAACTGATGACCGCCAAAGAACAGATGAGGAAGTCGCTAGGGGGCATAAGGGTGGATCGTTTCGTAAGTCCATTGGATTAGGTATAGTGGGGTAAGTCAAATCTTTGGACAATGTGAAAGGTAGTTTGTCAAAAGACCAGACATAAAAGTAGTGCTGCTAGAAGGCGCAGATAGCGGCAAAGATTGATTGTCATCCATTACATCACAGAATGCAGAACATGACTTGAAGGAGGAGGAAATATCGGCCTCAACAGCTGAAGGTAGTAAAACAACTCTGTTGAGGGAGTGAGCATTTAAAAAGGGTAAGGTACATGTTTTGGAGAGGCCGAAGAATTGTAAAAGGTATTTCGGCTAGAGTGGTGTCTAGGAACATTCGGCGGATGCCCAAGCAGGCTAGTGTTATGAGTTATCGCAGCAACTCTAGGCATCCTAGTCTTTTTGTACGCAATCAAGGGTATAAGCTTTGGGTTAAAAAACGGGGAGGCGCCTAAGGTTAGATTTTGGGGTGGTATTTATTGTATGAGTGTCCGTATTCTTAGGAGTCCTAGGGTTTAATTTTAGAAGCATAGTAGCGTCCCGAGTAGGAGAGGTAGGGTACAGGCATTGTTGTTTATTAGGTATGTTAAGTATTGAAGACTGACTGTCAGGGCGACTAGCACGTTTCATGTGCGAATTTCGAACTACTGGGTCTGTCCCTTTATCTTTAGGACAATATTTATATGTAACAGAAGTGCGATTGACTTGTGGTTTACATGTAGATGGGCTTTCGACTACGGGACAAGTTGCAGCACTTTCATTCAGGGGACAAGTCTTTGGACTAGTAGTCACTTTGGATCTGTTCTCCGTTTTAGGAGGGATGGAGGTAGGTATTGTAGGGTTAATGTGACATTCGTGATTGTAGCTGTTGCTAGTGCACGAATCGGCCGGCATAATTGGAAGGCCACTGGTAATACAGCGGTGTGTCGCAGTTCTATCCCGGATAATTCTAATCTTCTTATACAGTGGAATGTGTGTATGTAGTGACTGACTATTAACGAAATGATTGGCTTCCATGACAGTACTAAATTGAACAAGAATGGGACAGGAAAATTTAGTCTGAACTCTGCGTAGCCTACGTGCTACACACCAATAGTGGGACTATCCACACTGTTTAAGGAGAGTGTTTTTAACAGACTTTAGGCTAGCACTGTCAGGTACGTTATAAACAATGGCATTCTGCATGCACTGATCTTTTTAACACTTCAGAGGATATATGGTCAATAACCATTTTGGATTTTTAATGATTTCGAGATCAGGATTTTCTGGAACACTGACCAGGTATTTGTAAGGTAGTAAATCCTGAATGGTTTGGTTGATATCGAGTGCACTTAAGGTGTCCTTAGAACTAATAGTGACGAATGTATTGGAGTTCAGTTCTCAGCTGTTAAGGTGAACAGGATAGTGAATAGACTTGCTACAAGTGTTTTGCGGTTGCTCAGTCTGCGTAAAGTCATCCGGAGTAATGAACATATCAGAGAGAGAACAGTCCAGATCAACATTACTAGATTTCCTATGGCAAAAAGGCCTAGGGACATTTTTCGGGTTGTTATAAACTTGATCCGCTTGCGGGCTCGTCAAGTGTTTAAGACCAGCCACACTTTCTAACAAGTGCTCACGGGAACCTATTTCAGATGAAGCACAAGAAGTAGTGGATGGTGTCGAGTCACTCGGAAGGAGGTTAGTTGTATTTATATCAACGAGCGGGATATAAGGTAAAGAGATGTCATTTTGAAGTTCACGGTAAGATTCTATTAAGCCAGTGGGTAGATCAGAATAAGATACGGATGGAGCACTGTTCTTACGTTTGATTTAATCGAATTTAGTAGCGGATTTGGATCTTTTACAGGTGTTATTTTCGACAGGTGAAATCAACGGCGTTTTTTAGATAAACGTGACATGTTTGTGGAGTTATTTGTAAGCAGAGTTTTGTTACTATAAGCACAAAGTCTGTTTGGAATTATGAAGCCAAAAACTACAGCGAAAATTACTGAACTAAGAATATCCGAAGAGTGGTTGTAAGAGATGAGTTAATATGTACGGTTGAACTAGAGTAAAAAGATCGAAAAACGAAAAAGATAATACACGTGAATAAAAGGTATAACCTTCAAAGTACGCGCCGTTTAACCGTATTGTGGATGAAACTCACTGTTGTACTGCAAGTGAAAATAATCATAAAATGCAAAGTCAATTTACTTAGTTGCTAGTAATTTTTATACTAAGATAAAAATATCGGTAGTTTCATAAGGGACCATCTTAGGTCCACTTCTCTTCCTGATATTTATTAGCGACCTGTTAGGCACAGTTAGCTCGCCGGCACTGATCTACACAGACGATGCAAATATCTGTAGGTCCATTAGAAGTTAAGAGGATTCAATTGAGCTCCAAAATGACTTTACACGCATCGAAGAATGTGCAGTGAATAAGGGTTTGAAACTAAACCGACCGAAGTGTCAGGTCATGTACATTCTGCACCACATGACGCAAAATATTTACACCCTCCATGGAAGTCTACTTCCTAATGTATCCTCAGGGAGCGATCTCGGTTTATAGACCACTGAAAGCCTCCACACAAGCTCGAAATATATAGGGGACGCAGCCAAGGCAAATGCGACTCTTCACTTTATGGGAAGACAACTTGGTGCTATGACTTCAGAATCATTCTTAAAGCTGTTTAATACATATGCTCGCCCACACCTTGAGGTTCACAACGTCATCGCAGTCCACCTGCTTAAACAAATCTAATGGTTCCAGAGCTAAGACGAGCAACCGAATTGGTGGTAGTGTTGAAAAATAAGACTTACGAAGATAAACTCCACCACTTTGGATTATTCCCCTTTAATTACAGGAAAATCAGAGGTGATCTGATTATCAAGTAAAACATATTAAGCATTCCAAACCATCTCAACGTAAGCATGTTACCGATGCATCGCCACCACTCCCTTCGAGGTAATCCTCGAAAAGTTGCGCATCAAGGAGCGAATACTCAGGCTCGTGCACACGTTTTCTCATTGCGAGTCGTTGCAACTTGGAATGCTCTCCCACACGAATGGATTATCATCTCCCTCTTGGAGAAGCTGTTCATGATGCATATCTTGAGACCTGATAGTTGTTATCACTGCCATCTCCTCAGATCACTAAATCTATCTCGCCTATTATCTCTGTTTCCTCTCCCTTGCTTACATTTCGGTCCTCTCTCACAATCTTCACTACCAATTAATAAACCAAATTATCCATTTATTTACTTAGTTCTGAAATCTTCTTATTAGCATAAGAATTTCCCCCCTCTTATTCTCCACATTCTCCATATTTCCGGTCTGGTAATGTGACGGTGACTGGTATCCAGAGACCCTACTGCCCTGAAACATACGTTTTCATTCAAATCCCGAGACATACAAACTCACAACCAACTGTCAACTGACTGGAATTAGACAGTCGATCATCCATTGGACATTACCGAACACCTGGAACTGTACCGAAAGAACAAAAATCGAGAGCAAAGAAATAAACTGTTTTATACTTGCTCGTAAAAAAGATATTGGATGTTGAAAAAGATATTGTAAATTGGACACACAAATTGATAAATCACTACCAGGTGCCTGGATTTATTGCAGTAGAGTGGCTAGACTACCACCCGTTGGACATTGACGAATATCTGGTACCGTACGGAAATGAAGAAGTTATACAAAGAAATCAGTTTACACCTGCGCCTGAAAAGGATATTAGATGTGTATGGTTGGGTTGTCATAGTCACAGTTCTTAAATGGGCGGCTCAGTTGACATAAGATGTTGCATTAAGGTTTTTATTAATCTTTTGAAATCTGTTGGATTCTCGGGGCTGGAAGCAGAAATTTTACGGTTGGCTAAATTTGATGACATACGTGCGCTACAGTCTATCAAACGGTTCATATTTGAACTCATATATTTTGTCAAATACGGGTGTGTGGATGAATTGTGTGCTGAGGGTTTTGCAAACTTTTCAGATACTGAAATCCATAACTTTATATTCCATCACTTGTTGATCTATGGATTTCCTTTAATACGCAAAAATATTGGTGAAAACGTCACATCAAGGCAATTGCTTTTAGGATCTTTGTGGATCTTAGTTTCTTTTGATGTCCTGTCGAAAATTGAGCAAATATTGATTTCTTCTGCAGGTAAAATGACCAATGAAAATTTTCTAAATCAAAATGAACCAATTTCTACCAGTTATCCACTAAGCGATACGTCTGTACCCCGACTCATATGGCAACTTGGCCGTTTGCGGATTCAGCTGAAGAAGTTGTACCACTTGAAAAGTGAAACCATGAGAAATTTCCTCAAATTTTCTGTGAAAGAATCAAATGTGCTTTCACCCACACAGTATCGGGCTATCATATACCCGAATGCTGCGCGTCAGCACTTTCAAAATGTACAAGAGAGCGTTTCAAAATTACATTTATTATTATCCTGGAAAGATGTAAATCATACATTTTGGCAATGGATTCGTAGTATTTTACTTGCTCATCACAATATGTTGGCCGAAAGTTTACCAAATAAATGGGTATCTGACTGTGCTTGTGAACTCATTGAACTCGTTACAAAACTCTGTGACTCCATAAGTCACTTTAACACCGAATATTCCCATCTCTTTGACGACGTCAAGTCAAACCTATACGAAACTCCCACATTGAATGAGAGTTGGAGTTCTACCGAGGACATTTTGTCATGTATACATAAAGAATTACTTATTCTTGCGGATCTTTTAATATGTGTAGACTTCGCTACCGATACTCAATTACTACCGTGTGATTTTCGGTATAATATTGTAAGTAACGAGAAAGAACTTTCAAAAACGGCAGAGAAGTACGGTTTGGTTTTCAGTTTAGGAGATGAATGTGCTAAGTTAAAGTTAATAGTTGATAAGCTGAAGACAGAATGTGAAGTCATCAAATACAGTTTAACTCGTGAGTTGCAAAGAATAGGATCGGATATTTTATCTAGTGCTGTGCTTTTGTATAATAGCTGACAGATGTAAATTTGAGGATACCTTCACTACTTATAACCTGTGTTCACTGTTGTCAACTAATATGATTTGTAAATATATTAATTTTTCCTTACTTGTATTCATTTTCGAGACACCATTATTGTCTGCTATTGATAATAAATTTGATACTCCTGGTTTGTTTTCGTTTTTAATTACTAGTTGGATTGTTCAACTACTATTTTGAGGGATTTATTTCAAATTTAAGTTTTTTTCAGAAATTCCCTACTACCTAGTTGTATTTATTTTGCAGAGTTCAACATACTTGATGGACGTAATCGGTTCAAGTAATGTCACCAACTATTTTAGCGTAAACTACTTGTTACTAAGTATTGACCGTATGATATCAGACTTGACTTTGCCTCTAACTGTGTCATTTTAAAGGAATCAACCTTAGTGAATGTTTTTTAGGCAATGTATGATGAGTTGTCACCATAATTATTATGACTCTATGTCTTGCCTATGGAACGTTTTATATATAACTTTCCAATGAGTTTAAGGAATGTGAATTTAGTATATCTTTTAGTTGTATATTTAGTTTATTAGGTTATGATTGGGGTTGACGGAGATTTTCCTGAAAACCATCCCAGTTTTTTGAAAACAAGGCATTTCAAAATAGGTAATAAGCAGCCAAGTAATCGGCTTTGGTTTATCTACTTGAGATGAATATCTAGGAACTGAGATCATAAATGTAGCATTTCCTGTCTTCATGTAAATAACAAGTTTAGAGTAAACTTGAATTGGCCAACGATATCTATTACTCAAAAACTACTAAGAGTAGTAATGGTTTCTAGGTCGGTAGATTTGTGATAAGAACATGTACGGTCAAGAATTAATGTGTCAGTTTATAAGTTTTCGTTATCTTTTGAGTCGCTATGCTATATCTTGTATATTTTTATAGTGAAATGACCTTACTTACCTAAATGAAGCATTTTAGGTAGAAAATCTTTAGCGAATTATATTTACCGTGATTTATATTATTCTCATTCCCTCAATGTTCTCGTTCTGTTCGGGAAAAACTTATAATATACAAGCCACCACGATGATACATTTGTTTATCCGAGTTACTAAATAATGTCGTACGGTGAATTTCCTATTTTCTGGTTCTTTGTGTTTCGGTATCCTATTATTTCCATCGAATGTTAACGGTACTGTGCATAGAAGAGTGATTCATTTTTCAGTAATACTAAACACATTTAATCAAAAATTGTGTGTTGTGTACTAATATGTCTAGCCTATATAGCCTGTTCCAGATTTTGTGGAAATTAATTAATCCATTCTTCTCCAGTCATTATTCACACGTCTTTCGATCTTGTCAGTTATTCGCCCGTAACTTTGATTATTTTGGTCTTGGTGCTTACTTTGCTTATCACATGTTTAGCTTATTTCGTCTGACTATCACCACATTGAGTTGGCCCACTTACTATCTCCACCGCACATTCGCTTTCACTCTTCGAATTCTATTGTCTGTCTGCTTACGCGAATGTATAGTATCAGTTCATCCAAAATAAACCATGTTGGGCATTTAATTAGCATCGTCGCATAAACGGGATTAGCTCTAGATTGATTAATGGAAATTAAGGGAAAGATTTACTTCATAGATTACTCAATCTTTCATCCCAATCGGGTTCACATTCCGGTCACCAGTTTTCTCCAACTTCTGGATGATGTCTTTGGTAGTACTCCAAGTTTCCGCTCCATACAGTAGAACTGTCTTGACATTTGTATTGAAAATCCTGATTTCGGTTTTGATTGATATTTGTTTGGAGTTCCAAATATTTTTCGATTGTAGAAATTCATCTCTTGCTTTGCCGATCCGTGCCCTCACATCTGCATCGGGTCCACCTTGGCACATCACAACACATTTTAAAGCTGGAAAAAACTTTATTTTTCAACCGATTTTAACAGAACATTTAAAAATGTGAAGAACAAACGATCAGTTAGGTATCGAGGTTCGCACCATTTTCAGGAAAAATGATTGTTTGAGTTCTACAAAAAGAAAACGAAATAAAGTGAGTCAAGTGAAAGGAAAAAAATGTTTTCTTTTCAAGTTTATGTTACGCAGCACAAATGATTCAGAATAGTTACGTCAGGTGTGAAACATTTGAATCAATCATAATAGGACTAAAGCTAATTAGTTTCGAGTAATTTATACGAAATGCCTTTTTTGCTTTATTTTCTACCTGTTCCATTAATTTGAAGGTAACATTTAAAGACCATACTTCGACTAAAATGAATTCATTTTGTCAACTAACCTCACATTTTCGTACCTAGTTCTCAGACATTCATTCGATCACTTGTGATAATCATAAAATTAAGACCATAAACCACTCGTGGATATATATTTTCTACGCAGTTGCCGATGTAAAAAGCCCTATTCGTAGTATGTCTACTTTCAACCATACTTTAAGCGTGCGGCGTAGTAGCACTGCTCGGTTATCTATGTCGAAGTAATTAAAATGACATTTGAGCCTGCGACTTCGTGGTTAAAACTCGAACGCCCTGGCTATTCAGACATCGTTTCATAAAGTTGTGCTTCCTACAACAATAACAGTAAACCATACAATTAAATTACTGTATTTTACACCCTCAATATGCCACAAAATTTCACTCTCAAGGCTTCCAATCAGAACGGTAAAAAGTTTGTATATGTATGAGCATATTAGCGGTTACAATTAAACTATCTCAGTAACTCATCTTAAATTCCAGTCAAGATTTTAAAGAATAACTATTTAAGTTCCGGAATCTTGGAGAAAGATTTTGTGCCATCTAATTACTCTAAACCAGTTGTTCATGCAATTTGGTAGTAGTGGCAACGTTGACTAAGAATAATTTGGGCAAAACACTTATACGTCACACTACTTACTCCTAATACTGTCCATGCACGAGTGTTTCTGTTGAGATTGTCTAATTCATTCCCGAAGACTGATTTTTACCATTATTGTAACTTGTATCTAACTGCATCTTAAATGTTGATGTTAGTGGTATGTTACTTACTATTAAACTTATTTCTATCATTGATATTTGTACATCAAGAAAATTCCATAACGATGTATCGTTAGGAATGAAGGAATCTTCTGGGTTTCATTATGTTGATCGTGATCGTTTACTCTTGGCTGTTCAAATAGCAAAACGAGATATTAGATGTTTATCATCTAACAAACTTGAAGACGATGAATTCTTTAGTGGATCAGCTCAAAATTCCAATAACATTTCACTTTTGGCTCCTGTTGATAGTTGTGTTGCCCAAAAACCAACTCAAGTAATGTTTAACTAGAGCTGCCATTTTCTGAGTCATAATCTTCTTAATATGAATATATTTTTTTGATTGTAGCCTAAAGCACTATGGAGTGTGGTGTATATATTTGTCCAACCACATACTGCTCTCATCAGTCAGTAGATAGTAACCCATGTTTTGTTGTTCTATCCCTAGATCGGGTGAAGTTGTATATATTAAGTTTCCAATGTATTATCTAAACTAGTGATCTGATATTCTAGTACTTTTTATTCAATGTTCGAGTCAATAAATAGGAAACCTTCCATTTAGGTTGCATGTTCTTACTCAATTAGTGGTAAGTAATTTTAACTTGGAGGTAACCAATGCTTAGTAACTGCACTAGACAACTGACTCAGAAGATTCGATCAGCGCTAAAAAATAAGCAACCTGCAACTTTTTTAGTTGAGTATTTATACTTATGAATCGTGGATTAGGGATTTCTATCGCATAACCCATAACTAGAGAACATATCGTTTTATAAGTTTGTTTTTCTACAACTAAACTTTTTGGAGTTCGAATATCATTCCCCTTACACCATTGATTTTTAGTTGAAGTCCAGCATTCATTTCTAAGTTAACCCTGGATGTCTGCCAGTAAAAGAGTCAGGAATAGTATAAATGATCTCTATAAGAAGTATTCTAGAATATTGAATAATGTTTCTCAACTCCTCACTAGATCATTTTTATGAATATTTATTTATTCTTGAGTAAATTTCGTTGGTTTATCCTGTAATTATTATACATTAAAGTTCATGCAACTATTGAGAAAGACTAGTGAAAGAGTTGGATTATATCTTTATCTGTTGACGATAAACAGTATGCTGATTTAAATAGATCAATTAATTTTTTTAAACCTCTAACTACTATGTTGCATCTTAGTATAAAAATTGATTGGTACAGATGTAGATTGTTAAAGCTTGAGTAAAGGGCAGTGGTTCGGCTAATATGACATTTTTTATAAAATGAATTTCATCCAATTTATTACTGGTACCAATTAATTAATATTACAAAAAATATTTTTATTGCTGTTATTCTTACCAGGTTTTCAGAAATAATGATCAGAAGTACAAATCCGTTTTGAGTAAACCTAGAATACCTCCGTCAATAAATGACTTCCATCAGACTCCGCGTAAGCTATCGACTAACATACAATATCGAACATTTGATGATGACAAAGCTCCAGCTTGTAGTGATTCTCCTCCAATAAGAGATACAGATGTCTGGATTCCAAGTCGTAAACGTGCTCTTCATGAACCAACTGAAAGGCAACTTAGAAATTCGCAAGTAAGTTTCCCTAGTTTTATTCTGTAACAATCATCGAAAATCCATTTAGTAACTAGTACTTGATAACAATTGTCTTTCTAGTCAATAGTTATCAATCAAACTACAAAGAATTTCTTTTAATGCTGTAGCTGTAAAGAGAATATGATTAAATATATAGACTCATCTAGTTGATTAAGTGTTACTTATATTTAAATTACTTAGTAAAAGCTGAACTTTCATTTCCTTGTGTTGATATGATGTTGAAATATAATTAAATTAGAACAACACATATAAGCGAACAATATTGTTTTCGATTAGATCGTCATCAGGCTTTACTCTAATATACATGAATATTTATATGAAAATGTTAAACCAATCAAGGCAATTTGAGTGATAATCACAATGAAATGAAAAAGATTACGTAACTACATCTAATAGGCAAAAGTTCAAGTGGATAATAGGAAAACAGGTGTACTGATAGATGTAGTTACGTAATCTTTTTCATTTCATTGTGATTATCACTCAAATTGCCTTGATTGGTTTAACATTTTCATATAAATATTCATGTATATTAGAGTAAAGCCTGATGACGATCTAATCGAAAACAATATTGTTCGCTTATATGTGTTGTTCTAATTTTCACAATGGGAATCTTTAAAATATAATTAAATAGCAATCATTATTTCTGTACTTTACTTCAGCACTGAAGAAGTTTCGTCTAATAAATATTCCAATAAATGAAATACATGATATAACACTACATAACTAACATATGTTTTTAAATACTTACTTACGCCTGTCACTCCTAATGGAGCATAGTCCGCCGACTAGCAAATTATTTTTCTAGTTAGCGTCTCTTTAGCGAGTCGAATTTCTACGGGATATGGTCGCTAACCCCCGTGCCCAACCTGGCAGTAACCCTAGAAGGGCTCCAGGTGGTGTTATGTTTTGAAGTAGATGAGAGTTTATCTGAAAACCATATGAAAGTTTTATTGCTCGAGCCCTAACTTCTTCATCACTCTACTTGGATAGATTGACTTTAGGGTCAACTTGTTTTAAAGACATTATCTATTGTTTTTTTCAAGTGTTCGTGAGGTTTGTTGAACTGTTCAATCCTAGATTCTGCACATCAGAAATGCTACATATGAACAGTTTTGGCGAAAAAATAAAAAAAAGGGAAAATTATCATAACATTATGAAGACAAATCAAATGAGAGAAAATTTTAGAAGAATTCTATTTTTCTGAAAGTACATCCTGCTACTTGTCTAGTAAATAACCATCTTCGGTACGATCATCACTGACTTCTATTTTGATCCATGTCTGACAAATGACTCAGCTCGTTAAGTTTTTTTGTTTTCTAGAATTTTCACTAAGAAAGCTGAGGGAGGTATACTTGGTTGTACTACGCCACAGCTGTAAGTATTCTTTATTTGTTCGCAGCATCAGAAGATATCGATTATATGGTAACTGTTAGTGATATGCATGACATATATGTATGTTATCAAAGTTAAACACGAAAGACGATATCATGCAACCTAACATAACCTAGTTGGTGATTCGAAACAATCAAGAGATGTGGCTGTATGCTATCATTCTACCTGAATGTTCTTGTATAAGGTTTTCTCATCGAACAGTTCTGTTCATCACATTTGCCTAACTAGGAAATTTTCAAAAAATATAAGGACTTAAATCAAGTTGATAACTCAGAAGGTCTATTTCCATTAGTTTTTTGAGACCTTTATTTTCATTACTCTGAAAGATTGGTACATGATCACTGGCTACTCTGGGAATAAATATGTCGTCTTTCAACTACTTTCTACACTAAACACAGATTAAACGGGTTGTAGATATTAGAAAGCATACAAATGATCGAAACATTCATTCTACTTTTAAATATTTCTATTTGATTAACAAAGTCTACCATTGATCTATATAGAATAGAAATCTTTTCCGAACCATTCTTTTAAAAATTATTTAATGACTTGCATAGTATTTGTCATTTAGATTACATATTCTTGAATTTTATTGTTTGAAATACTTAGGAATCTAGAATACGCCAGCTGCAAGTTAAATTTTCTCAATATTTAGCTGAATTAGAAGAACTTCAAGGAAAGTGTTTAACAAATAAAGTTCAATCCAAAGAATTAGAATCAACGTCTAAAATACAGAAAAAGTCACTTCTAAAACTTCCTGTAAATCATTCAAAATCAGTAATATCATCCATTGTACGTCCCAAATCAGCAGCTACACGTTCCCGCTTAATTCGTAAACCAAATAGACAAAAGTCTGGTAAAATAATAAAATCTCGTTCATTTAATGATGTCAACGCAACGCCTGACAATTGTTCAAGGTTTCCAACTTCTATTTCAACCAACCATTATGATTCAAAAGTATCTTCAGTTTGGCAACAAGCTATTGATACATTGAATTTAGACAGATCTAGTACTGTTACTCACCAATCTGCGGAATATTTAAAGGTGAAAACAGCTCACTTTTCTACATTTATCTGTAAACTGTATTCATTCGTAGAAAATTGGAATTTTGTACTTCGTTTGATAAGGATTTTGGTCATTACTATTATTGTTATTATTATTATTATTATTTAAGTTTTGCTCTGGACAAGGTTTATTTTATCTGCAAAAATTCATAGAAATCTATTTATATTCTGAATCAATAGGTTTTAGATGAATTGACAAAAAGAAGCCATATATGGGAATGTGAATTTGTTGTAAGCGGATTTTTTAAAAAAATCTCTGGTTTCAACCTAAAATGTGGCATCAAGCAGTGTTCTATTCGGATACATTATCACTGAACTGTTTTAACATACGTTTAAGGAGCATATATTTGTTGAATTTTTTATGTTTTTTTCTAAGTTACCTATTACTGAATTTCTTTTTATGAATCAGAATCAGAGTCCAATGAAATGCTTGCATGAAATTACTAATGGTCAACACATTCAGAATTCAGCTAACCAGCTTACTACCAATATGATCAAATCAAGTAATTCATATTCTATGTACATATATATACATATATGTATATATATATATATATATATATATATATATATAATTTGAAATCATAATACTGATTAGCATAATCAAATGTATTGATCATAATTGTTGTTCTGTTTTCAGAAAGTTTCCCTTGAAGAAGTGCTTTAACCTTCCATTGTATCTACTCAACAAGGAACGATTTTAGAGTTTTTTGAGATGGACTGCTTGAGATGTAAAATATGTTTATTTACTGATGAGTTTCAAAATATGATCATGTGTCTGTGTAGTCCCTAACCGTCTTTAATAGCTCTTTAATCAGTTTTCAAATAATTACATTTTAAGGCTTTCAGTCAATGAGTTGAAGGTTAGCAATTGGCTCCACCTACTTCATTTTACTCAGCCAAGTAATATCACAAACCTCACCATCCCCGCAAATACATAAACTGATTAAATTAGGATGAAATTTAAACTTCCTACACAGTTATGCTTTTGACAATTGATCTATCAATGAGCAGTCGCCAATGAAATTTTCATCTAATTCTTTATTACTAACCGAATTCTATCTATCAAATTGCAATACGGCCATAAAGTTAAGTGATTAGACGTCTCATTCAACATGTTAAGATTTCCAGTTGTTAAAATTAGTAGTCGAAAAAGCCTGGATCTAATTTATCTGTTAGCTGACACTTCGTAAAACTTAGTGACTCAGGTTCGAATCCTATAGTTTGTGAGTACACCTTTCTCCCGTACGCCAATTACCTCGAAACGTACATCCAATGTTTCCTTCTGACTACCACCATCCATAGAACACCAGTGTTTTTTTTTTGAATTTTGTTTAACTAATCTGAAAGCTTAAAGTAAAGTATACGAAATCAAACAGAGAATTTGTATTCATAGTTCTTTCCTTTAATATTTATTATAGAGTATGATTATTGTCATAGTACTCAACTACATCAAAAGAAAAGCCTGTTATTACACTTTGGACAGATCTCTTTGACACTTGCTTGTAGAGTAGACCATAATTTCTAAAACAGTAATAATAGAAAAGTCGAAAATAGTTACGTAAACGCTCTCTTTGACTACAGCATAATTCTTATAATTGTCTTATATTGTTATAAAAAGCTTTTTTTTTCTTGCATTGGATGTGTACTTTAAAGATCTTGATGATTGTCGCATACTTTGTTCTGCTGCTAAACAACTTTTAAAACAAATTGATGAAGCTGAATTAGAAGAGAATATTATTCGACGTCGGTGGGCTGCTAATAAACTGATCTATATAAATGATGACAGAACAATGTTGAATAATTTTTCTCTCACCAAGAAGAGTGATACAATATGCCAAAATAATAAAGCAGATGCATTTGTATTGTAAGTTATGTATTTATCATTAAATAACGAATAGTGTAAACATGTAGCCCATTGATTTGAACACTGCTTCTATTCATTTTATCTTAAGTTAGAAATTCATTTGATCAGTAACATATATGAATTATTTTAGTGTTACAAACATTTATCAATTAAGGTATTTGCAAGACGTAAAATATTCTCGACATTTTCTTTATCTAATACAAAACAGGCAACAACTTAAGAGTAAAGATGTACTAAAATTATTTTAACGATTCTCGAACTATTTACAAATTCTACAATTCAAATTGATGTTTCTCTGAATTAACTACTTTCTCAATTATTCAGCTGTTATGTCAACATGGTTTTCATTGTAAACTACTCATTTCGTAATATGATCTTTTTAATTTCTGGCATTTTTAAAACATTTGAAATCATTAATCAATCATCATTGTTAGACCACCATTAGAAACCTGGAAGCACTGGACGGCCGTTTCGTCCTAGTATGGGACTCCTCAGCAGTGCGCATCCACGACTCCTGCTCCTCGCAGGAGTGCTTCCAGGTTTCTAATGGTGGTCTAACAATGATGATTGATTAATGATTTCAAATGTGTAAAAACGCAAACCTCCAAAACTGTGCCCCAATATAATTTTTAAAACAGCCAAACATGTACATCACTCATTTAGCTAACAAAATCTGTAAATTAATGAGTGTGTATGACTATTACTAACTCTTTTCAGTTGTATATATACACGAGCAGTTTATTTGAGGCCAAACTTTCAGAAAAAGTCAATGACATTGTTCACTATTGATTTCAGTGATTAAGTTTATTCAAATTTCTTAGCTTATATTTGTTTTTAATTGTGTCATTCATTAATTAGTGTTTAGGTAAAAGAGTATTATTGGATAACTAAATTTATATTCATATGATTAGACTATCATCATCATGTATAAATTTGTAAGTGAACAATACTTAATTCGTTTTTCTAACACCAGATGTAGAAAACACTAATCATCATATACTTAAACTACTCATGCACAGATATAGTTAAAATAAAACAAGTACACGGAAGAGTATATGGAAAATGAGAATATTAAGTATAAATAACTTCACGATGTCCTTCAAAGTAGGGTGGCAGTAAATTAGCATATTAAAAAAGCAACGAGCGAATAGTTAAGAAAGGTTGTCATTCACAATCAATTGAAGAATGAATTCAGTGGTAAATATCGGAAGCATAAATTTGGAATTTTTATATAAACGGCAATGACAAAATGGCGAGTAAGTAGTTTGTGCAATCTATAAACATTTCTGACAGTTTATTGAATTCAAGTTATTTGCAAGGATTATTGTAAGTGAAGTTATGTGCAACTGTGTTCCCATGTATTCAGTGTAGTAGTGTAGAGCCCAAAATGAATAGCGAATGCAAAAGATAAATATTGTAAACGTTAGGGCTTTAAAGGGAATTCTTACTGAAATCTACACTCCAGTATACAGTACTCCAACACTACATAAATCGAGACATGATCAAATCTTCTGGTTACGACTTAAATAATGAATACGAAAACAATGCAATCACCCTTAGCCATTATTTTTCAAGTTATTTTATTTACGTCTTTCTTTGGTTTTATTTCATTCCTCTAAAGACCAAATGATAAATCGCCATTACAACAAGATGACAGGTCAACTATCCATCCTGATATTTCAAATTTTCAATTTTCGGAGGTAATTGTTTGTTTATTTTGAATTGTAATTTAGTTTCATCATATATATATATATATATATATATATAACTCGCAACATAATTATTTACACTGATCGATCACTGAATATTAACGAATAACATGTATTTGCTCCTTGGTGCTAATCGGATTCCATCGATTAGGCCTCAGCGTAGCTACTAGTCTAGATAATTTGATACCCTGTGTTTTATGTTTTATTGTTTATTGATTGAAGGCAATCAGCAGGAAGCTCTGAGATCTAGGTTCCAGGGTAGTTGGTACTTGTCATTAAGGCGTACCTGTAATCTTGATGGAGATGGTGCTTCCTGCGGAATTTGAACTCAAAGCATTCACTGTCACGATCACTGAAAAACCAGTCTCCATAATCCAAATTAATCAGCCCTAAGAACTAGATACCTCGAACATTTGATACTACTCAGTAATCAGTTAGCTTAAACATATATAGAGATTACTTGTAACCGAAATAGTTCAATCGTAACACCTGTGACTGTAGTAGTATATGATATGAATTCACATTTCATGAGAAGTATCATTTTCACTAGGATTGAAAATAAAATCTATTAATAAGTCCCAACTAACATGAAACCTAGATCTAGCAAGATTTCCATCCGATTTCTTTCAACTACGTAATAACAAAATGAAGATTTTAAGAATGTAGGTAAATTTTTGGTTGATTTGAATTTAACACCAATTCAGTCCATCAACAGATAGTTCACTGCATACATTACATATGTTGTGTAATATAAAAATAATACATGAAGTACTACTTGTGTTGTATTTAAACATTGCTCATTTTGAAGTGCTGAACCAAATAAGCTTTCTGTTCATATTTACGCCTAAGATAAAGATTAGTTATATTCATATAATTGACAAAGTAGTTGTCAAACATACTTGTCGTCTAAGGTGGAACTGACTTCTACTTAACTATCAAATCTTATAGCCTGATTCTTAATCTGCCAATTTGACATATATAATCACAATTAAGATTTCGTTTTCATTTCCAAACAAATTTAAACAACTGTTGTATAAATTAGCAAATGATAATTTGTAAAATATTTCTTAAAAAATTTATTTATTATACAAATGAAACAATGATCTGCTTCTGGAAACAGCAGTGATATCTGCTAGTAAAGTAAACCATAAGGTTAGTAAGAAACCGTGGATTTCAGTTGCATCCACCGAACTGATGGATGCTCGAACACTCATGCCGTCTAGCTCTGAGAACGATTAGGAGCTGAGTCAGCTTAGGAGCAGGCTGATAAAAAATTTTCGCAATGATCGAGAACAGTGGTGGGTGGCGAAAGCAATGGAGATGGAAAAGGCAACGGCGACAGGCAACAGTAGGCAACTATTCAGACTCATCAAGGAAACCGGTATTGGAAATCCATCTGTTAGCGAAACTATCGCAGAAAAGGATGTTTGTATCATTCATTCTTAATCCAGGAGAGTGGATCGATGGGCAGAACCCTTCAGAGATCAGTTCAACTGGCCGACATAAGTCTTCCTAATCCTTATGAAGTTGAGAAAGCGTTAGGAAATTTAAAGCAAGGGAGATCTGCGGGTCCTGATAGATTTAGCCCTGAGATTTTTAAGGATGGTGGTCCAGTTTTAGCAGCTAGATTGACTGTAATCTTAGGTAGAATCTGGGAACTGGACACAATCACATTCGACTGATATCAAACCCTAGTAGTCGCAATTTATAAGAAAGGACAAAAGTCTTCTTGTGACAATCACATGGGAATCAGTCTAATTAATATAGTTTCTAAATTGTTAGCTTCGATTATACTTAGGCCTTGAACGACATAGCTCAGAATCGTTTGCGATGGCGCGCGTGCATCCACTGTTTGTGTTCTCTCTAATTCTAAGCTTCTGAATTCCTCATAATCTCTATCTTTCTCCTTCTAAATTTATCTCACTGAATTATATTTCTCGAATCATATCTTCGCTCCCTAAACTTTTCCATTGCTGCTAATACTGATACTGTAGTGAATGAGAACACAGGTGGAGGCAACCGAATTGTATTTAACGAAAATTACAGAGTTACTCAGTAAAATCGGACAACCATATCGTAAATCGTTCATTTGCAAAAGATCAGTTCATCCTATGGAACTGGACTGTTCCTGTTGCCAAACATCAATCCAACGTCACTATTCATGCGTTTGATACAAATCCCATTGTTTTCTAACTCTTCCTTTCTTGATCTTCCCCCCATATTATGCTACCAGACTTTACGTTGACACTCACGTTATATACTACTTATAAGTAGTTCGTACCACAGCACCACACTCGTCCCCCCTTTTAATAAGCTGTCGTCGTAGTCCTTCAAAACAGAGCCCCTGGTCAGTTAATATCACCTTCCGTATTCCGTGACACGCTACAATATGCCGGATTACCACTTCGGTCATCGTTCTTGATCACTGGTCTGGAATGGATACGGCATCTATCCAACGTGTAGCGTTTACAAGTTCCCGATGCTGGAACACGGCGGCAGGCACACACTCGACAAATTGCGACGCCAAAGACTGTGCCCCGCCCACTCCTCACGGCGCAATCCGGTGAGCTCCACAGCAAGCACCAACAGGTCACCATCGGCCGACAGCCGCGCCAACCGGAACCTCTGCGGCGCCTCCTCCCTGTCCGCTGGGCTGTCGAACTCCATTACCAGCCGCCCGGTGACCGTCTCCCACGCCGTCTCCTCGGTGGCACCGTCCAGGCTGTCGTGTACCGCCTTCGCCTCACCTCCCCGCAGCGTCCCCAGCACCGTCAACTCCGCCCCAGGCCCCCACCAGCTCCACCGCAAACTCCTCCAGGAAGCTCCGCCAATCTCCGTCCTGCAACTCCTTCGGCCACGGCAGCCCCTTCCTTCGAGTAGGCAGCGACACCAAATGTAGTGAATGAGAACACAGGTGGAGGCAACCGAATTGTATTTAACGAAAATTACAGAGTTACTCAGTAAAATCGGACAACCATATCGTAAATCGTTCATTTGCAAAATATCAGTTCATCCTATGGAACTGGACTGTTCCTGTTGCAAAACATCAATCCGTTGTCACTATTCATGCGTTTCATACAAATTCCATTGTTTTCTAACTCTTCCTTTCTTGATCATCCCCCATATTATGCTACCAGACTTTGCGTTGACACTCACGTTATATACTACTTATAAGTAGTTCGCACCACAGCACCACAATACTATCTCTACCACTATGGGATTTGAATTGGCAGTTGCGTCTCTGTGCTAATGTGGTATGGCAACCTGATCTGATGTACTTACGTACGAAGTTCTACGTTGCATCTGCCTGCATGATCTGCTTTATATCATCATATTCCACACATGTTAAGTAATTGTTTATTTAACTTTTAGCTTTTAATATTTTCTCTGTAAAAAATGGAATTGACTCAAATTTCAATAAACATTATTCATGTAACTTTTTCTTTGAGTATATTTTTTAATTGAGAATTATTGTCTGTAGAGTGTGCTATACTAGATGGAGTATTATATTTTGTCGACAAGACAGATAAGTGACTTTATTTAACATCTGTTCACATAGATTGATTATGAAAGAAATTCATTTAGTTAAAGTTAAGTTAACATTCTAATAAGAATTGTATTATGACGTAAACAGTTTAAGATAAAGATAATTGTAGATATGTTTGATTTTATTCTAAGATAACTGGTATTCTTTAGTAAACTGTGAAAATTTTGATTTTTACTGTATCATATAATTATTATTATTATTAAAGTTAAAAGAAAGAGGTTTTCTGAAACCAGTGCAAAGTTTTTAAAGTTTCATATCATAATAAAGGTAGTCAGTTGATAAGTGTTGTCTAACAAATGTTAAATAAATTGTCTTATATTCGATAAAATAAGATATGTTCCTATTAATTACTTCAGTTAATCATAGGTGTCTCCGAAGCATTGCTCATGTATCCTGGGACAACCGAGTAAGCAATGCTGTCGATAGGAAACGGGTCCTAGGTAGGGGTGGCAGATCAATAGATGATGTATTGAAACTTCATCAGTTAAAGTGGTTGGAACATGTTTTGCGTATGCCTGACCACCGACTGCCTCGTCGAGCTATGTTTACTGGTGTCGAGTTGGATCGGAAGAAAGCTAGGGGTGGCCAGATCAAAACATGGAAGAAATCCATGAAGTCACTGACAAGTGGACTGAGTCATATTGGTAGTTGTCGACTACGTGGTTGGGATCTGTGAGATGACAGCAATCGATGATCAGAGACCTTGAACGACATGGTTCAAAATCTTTTGCAATGGTGCAGGTGCATTCATCCTTTGTGCTCTCTCAAATTCTAATCTTCTGAATTCGTTCATCACCTTTATCTTTTTCTTTTTAAGTTTATTTGACTAGATTCTACTTCCTAAATAAAATATCTTGGAACCCTAATCCCTCCGATTACTACTAATACTTCTACTGCCTCTATTATTCTGGGATTTGAAGTGACGATTCCATTTCTCTGTGCTAATATGGTATGGAAACTTGAACTGATGCACGTACGTACGTAACTCTTTGTTGTTGTTGTTGACTGACTGACTGACTCAGGTAATCAGTTAGTTGTTGTAAGTAACGTAGGATCAGGGATAATAACTGCGTTGCTTAAAGTTATTACAATGAGACGAAATAATCAGAAGAAATCATAGTCATATGAAAAATATTATAAAACATTCAACATAAACATCATGAAGAAAGCAAAATCCAATATAAAATAGTCTCAAAATTCAGGAACTAACTGGATACAAAAAAATGAATGTATCTACAGTAATGTGACCGATTTTTAAGTCATGTCATTCAATGTTTCCAACTATTGGGGTTACGATAATCGTGTAGAACTCAACCAGGTATTCTGCACCTACCTACTCTACCTATACAACTGTCCAGCACTCAATGACTCCATAAACTGATGACATATGTTGGCCTGGTCAACTCTAGTTTCCATTCAGTCAGCAAACATCATATACCACCAAGGTGGGCGAATTGAAGAAGATTCATTACTTCATCAAACAATTTGTTATTGTAGCATCAATCATTTTTGCGGTACTAGAAATTTATCATAAAATAAAGTTATTTAACAGAACAAATTTAAATAATTTTCTTTGAATTTCTTCAAAATTATTTTTTTTTTGAATATAATTATCAATAAATGCTCTACTTCTATTTTACATTCAAACCAAAAGAGATTTCTTTTCAATCTATTTTTTTTTCTAATTTAATCTAATTGTTTTAACTTGTTTCTTAATTACTTAATTACTTACGCCTGTCACTCCCAATGGAGCATAGGTTGCCCACCAGTTTTCTTTAACCAACTCTGTCCTTTGCTTCCCTTCCTAGTTCTGTCTAGCTTTTGTTCATTCTTCTCATGTCTGTCTCTGTTTCTCAGCGTAAGTGTTCCTTGGCCTTCCTCTTTTCCTTTTACCTTGAGGGTTCCATGTGAGGGTTTGTCTTGTGAAGCAGTTGGGTGCTTTCAGCACTGTGTGTCCTATCCACTTCCACCACTTCTTCCTGATTTCCTCCTCCACTGGAATCTGGTTTGTTCTCTCCCACAGTACATTGTTGCTGATAGTGTCTGGCCAACGAATCCGAAGTATTTTGCGAAGACAACCGTTTCTTAATACCGCCTTATTTTTGTTTAAAATTAGAATTTTCGAGTTTCTGTTTGTGTAAAATCAATGCCAATCTTGAACATTGCTAACTAGTTTCAACAATATTATTCTCTTACTTTCTTTTATCTTCAGATTGTTAATTAATCCTATCTACACTCGGAGTATGTACAAATATCATCCATATACATATAATAATACACCATGTTTAAATGTATACAAAGCAAGAAAGTGAATTTCCTTCTTTATTTTATTCTTATTCTTATTTGTATTAGTAGTATTACTATTATTTACATACCTATTTACGATTGATTTATTGTTTTCCGCTATCAATGAACACTTTACATGACATGGAAGAGATTATTGTTCATTATTATTTGTAATTTGTAATTTTCATATTTTTTATCATTATCTTTCTTTTTGAATATTCAACAGTTTAAGTGTTGTACTTTGCACTAAAAACATTATGTTAATTTTTTTTTCATTTGTATTCTTGTGAAAATGAACATTGTGTAAAATGTTGCCCATTAAAAATAAATTATTTAACTGTGAATCATTTAATTTGGTTTATTCAAGCTATTCGTTAACATTTAACATTCAATCTGATGATGATGATGATGAGGAGGAGGAGGAGGATGATAATGATGATAATAATGATCATTTTATCGATTCTCTCCTACTTCTGTTGTGAAGGAGAACACAAGTGGGGCAACCAGATTGCATTTAACGAAAATTACAGAGTTACTCAGTAAAATCGGAAAACCATATCGTAAATCGTTCATTTGCAAAATATCAGTTCATCATATCGAACTGGACTAGTTCCTGTTGCAAAACAGCAATCCATTGTCACTATTCATGCGTTTCATACAAATTCCATTGTTTTCTAACTCTTCCTTTCTTGATCTTCCCCATCTTCTGCTGCCAGACATTACGTTGACACTCACGTCATATAAGTAGCTCGCACCACACTTCTATTGAAATCAACAGTAACGTGTCTTTGTTTCGCTGAAATAATTTCAACAGAATTCTCCTACTTGTTTAATGCCTTTTTTCTAATAGAAAACAAAAAATACATTTCATATTTCTTTTTTTTAACGTAACTATTGACAATAAAAACACTTTTCCATTTTTATAATCGTTTCCATTAAACAAAATTAATAACAAGTTTTTTTTTTAAACCAAGAAAAATTTCTTTTTTCACTTGAAAATTACTTTGAAATGCATATTGTGTTGTTTATTTACTTTTCAAGCTTATTCAAGAAAATTTTATTATTTTGTGTACTGATTTCAAATTTGTTTAAATTTGATAAAACTAATTGGTGCATTTGAATTTGGCTTTTTTTGATGAAAACTGAACGATTCTTATCATCATGTTATTGTTTTATTTATTTGAATTTCATTTCATGACAAATACTAGAAATTATTTTTTTATTTGGAAATGTTAAAATTTTTTAAAATTATAATTATTATCATGTGATCGGTTTTATTTTTTAACTGAATTTCGAGAATATTAAAGATTCCTATTGTGAAAATTAGAACAACACATATAAGCGAACAATATTGTTTTCGATTAGATCGTCATCAGGCTTTACTCTAATATACATGAATATTTATGTATGAAAATGTTAAACCAATCAAGGCAATTTGAGTGATAATCACAAGGAAATGAAAAAGACAAAAGTACAAGTGGATATTAGGAAGATAGGTGAACAGATAGTAGTAGGAAAATTTATAAAATATGATAACTAAAGTAGGTCAAAGGTGGATGAAAAGAATTCAAATAATCATCAAAAACATTACGTAATAAGCAAATGTGTAAAAATAAAAAATATAATGTCAATCGTTAGTTACGTCATATCCGGCCACGGAAGAGATAGGGGTGTCACGAATTTCTTCTGAACACATAAATTGGGGTTGAATGTACGTATTCCTATGGCTTCTGCAATGTGTAGGAGACGGGATCGAACTCCGTTGGGAAATGATGGAGGTATACGATAGATCACCCGAAAAGATCTAGATTTATCTACAATGTGACCACTATCTACCAGGTGTGCTAAGATAGTTATCATATTTTATAAATTTTCCTACTACTATCTGTTCACCTATCTTCCTAATATCCACTTGTACTTTTGCCTTTTTCATTTCATTGTGATTATCACTCAAATTGCCTTGATTGGTTTTAACATTTTCATGCATAAATATTCATGTATATTAGAGAGTAAAGCCTGATGACGATCTAATCGAAAACAATATTGTTCGCTTATATGCGTTGTTGTAACTGAATTTTGTTTAGTTGTTGTAAGTTTATTTAGTGATTATCGAAGTTATTCCAAACACAACATTTTTTTAATCAAGCATAAATTTATCTATTTTCAATAAAGCTTAAATTATGTGTTCAATAGTTTCAACATTTTATAATTCTAGAAATAATAATGAAATGACTTTAAAATGATGTAAGATAAGTTGGAACAAGAAAGTATTGTAAAGTTGTTGCTTTGTTTTTTTTCTCATGTACAACCTTGAAGCCGCATAATTTATAAAGAAAAGCTTTAAGCGTATAAAATAATCAATCACAAATTTATTGTTCTACGGATATGATTACTGAATAAATGAAAAAAATCATAAACATAGTTTGTGATACAATGTATTTAAGATATGCTCACTATGCGACTACCGATCGTGTTGCACGTAAACTTATCAATAATCATTTGGTGTGATTAGTGTACATAAGTCTAGGATATTATGATGTAAGTCTGGTTGTAAAACATTCGATATACATCATATCGGTGAGAGAAGCTGTTGATTTTGAAACATGTTTTATAGATGTCATCCGAGCGGATTTCACATGGAAAAAGTGAATAGGGGCTCATTTTATGAACATTAAGCGATGCTTTCGAAAAGTAGCTGTATAGAACTGTCATCTGTTGGACTCCAGTCGGCGTCCTGAAGAATATGCAACTCAGTAGGTTGAGATATTATCAGACATAACTCAGATTAGAGAATATTGACTACTTTCATTTAGCTTCTAATACATTCTTTATTAAGGTGGGGGTAAGTTTTAACTCGTGTTATAAGTGTCACTGCCATGATTTGACATGATAGTTTCAAATAAATTGTACATTTAGTAAAATATTTAGACTGAAATTCTAACCTTTCATTACTTGATGGATTTTGTATCTTTCTGAAAAGATGACTTACAAGTCTATATTTTTAAATTCTTTTTAGAATGAAGCATACTCAAAGATAAAAGCAGATTGTAATCCTGTCAATAAGAAATCTAGTCCTCTTGCACATTATCATCCACTTATTCTACCGGTTAAATTACATCGTCAATTATTGCAATCGAAAATCAAGCGAGATGCACATTCTAAAAACATTTGGTTTTATTTAGTTCCTAATACAACTTTTGACAATTTACCAGATATTCCTGTTATCCATGTTTGTGAAGACCTTACCAATGATTTAATTCAAGAATCAGTTGATGAACTATATCAGACTATCGATCGTGCAGCTTCTGAATTAGTCGATGAATTAATTAAAGCGGAACTTTTCCCAGAAGCACCCGATATAACTTTATCCTTTGAAAAATGTGATGACTATGCACGTGGTTTATCCACACCTGCATTGTTTCGTCAGTCAGATTTAGTGGTTCATGAATTCGATGCTCCTGTAGTATCTAGGAACTGTAATGAAAGCCAGACGATTTCTGATGTTACATCTGTACTTGAGCTTGAACACGAATCTATCATCTCTAATGACGTGTCAGTAGATAGGCTGTCGAATTTTGAACACGGTAGTGAGAGCGAAGACATCAACGATGAATATACTTCGGTATTCGAAGATGATACTGTTTCATGATGATAAAGTTTTCAAACGATTGGAGCAATTTTAAAATACGCTCCCCAATAATTGTATTTCTTATTATTTAAAAATATATACAATTCTTTCTTTTTTATGCTGATAAGTATATTTCCCTTTTGTATCCATATTTGGAATTTTATTATTTGTTGTATAATTTTTTAACTACTCGTCAGTAACCACGTTCGTTTAATGAAATTATTTCTTTACTTGAAACCGTAAGACCATCAATGTTATGCCACCATTAAAAACCTGGAAGCACTGGGTGGTCGTTTCGTCCTTACATAGCACTATCCGGTAATACGTATCCACAACCCCGCATACGGAAATCAAACCATGCAACTTCGCTTTGCACTTAATTGCTTAAACTCTTAACCACTAAGCTGGCATTCAATGGTATCATAATGTCTAGCCTCAATCAATCCACAATATTGCGCGATCGTCATACATTGTCTTTGACAGATAACAGTCTCACACACAACACGTTTGAACTCCACTGGTTTTAGCTTATTACTCGAAATCCGAGAATTTCCTCAAAAAGCTAATCACTAGTGCCCACATGTTAATTATCGGTATAAGGTTGTGGAGATTGTTGAGTTTCATTAAAATCATGAACCAGTCCATGTTTCTCACAGATCCAGAATTATACAAAATAAATAAGGTATTTATCATAACTTTCATAGACGTTTTAGACAGACAAAGTTGGTTCTATATCATTTCCGATGTTTGTCCTGAATGAAGAAATTCGGTTTACATTCCTGTTCGTTAATATTCACATATTCTTAAGTGATTTCCCAGACTGAATTTTTTTTGCATATCAAAGTTTATCCAGCTTTGATGTAGGATAATATTTTCGACAAGTATTATCCTTAGTAAACTACTGAAACTTAAAGTAGAAGTATTTGATTTTATTGTACATTGTGTGTAAACCACAAATGGTTAATCAGTAAATATTTTGTAGTAGTTGTTAAGCTTTCGATCTACATTTAGTAACAAAAATGTACCTACTCGAAGCCATATGTATTAATCTTAAATCAAGTCAATAGTAGAATAAGGAAAGCTTACTAACTAGTATATTTTTCTTACTAGTTTATCGTGGAAAGCAGTTGACTGTTTCACTGTCAATTATGAATCATACTAATGCGAAAATATATAAACTCGATAGTGGCAGAACTCGTGGAAATATAAGCAGTAACTTGTCAGTGACTTAACGGATTCGTGCCATATTTCGGTCCTGTCTCCCCTTCTTGGGGATGTTAGATCCCCAGAACTAGCTTGATAAATGCCTTATTTTGTTTTCCACGTTTGCGACCATGGACTGATCAGTTAACCTTGAGATTTCCATCAGGAAAATCTTTGGCTGTGATTGACTGCTGTGTGTTTTAGTGTGTTATTTTCGTGGCTGTCCCAAGGATGTTTCTGTGATGTATAAATAAACAAGATTTGTGTGCTTGATTGTACTGTATTGTGCTTGCTGTGTGTTTGCAGAATATACTTTCTACGCTTATCAAGACTTCTCTTTTGTCGTTTTCGGATACAGGTAGCCTACCCGAACTCTGGTTCATTGTCTCGTTCGCGTTTATTGACTAAGGTGAACCCATAATAGCTTCAAGCGTACCTAGTGACCAAACTAACAAATAAGATCATCGATTTCGTGTCATTTAAATGCCTGATATTGTCTACACGAATTTCCGTCTATTCACAAAAACAGTGGTCTTTAGAGAATATTTCTAATTCTGAAAGAATTACAGATTCAGTTACGGTACATTAGTGTAATCTGATCATAGAAGCGCTCTGTAGACGTTTAGAAAATATCGGTTATTACTGTCTCGCCTCAATCATTCATTTTAAACATATAAGTAAGAACTATCAACCAATATAATACGCGTTTGATTGCTTATGTAGTTTAAGTTCTTAAAAATCGAAGGCTTTCCCAATGAATTATTATATCTTACCAGGTGATGGATCCACTAGTTTAGAGCGTATTTTAACTGAACAGATCAAATTAAACAAAAGAGTAATCTTGAAAGTTATTCCTCTCCTTCTGGTTATAGAAGAAATCACAATCTTCCAGATGCTTCACACATCCCCAGCACACCTTAATTTTTATGCAAACAACATGACTGTAACATACTACTGAATCGAACAACTAGGTTTCTCTTCGCCAATGAGTTAAGACTATTACGAGTACTTGTGTTTCTTGAATATCAGTTTGCTTTCTTTTACATGAAGACAAGGTAGACAGAATTAGTGTTCGCTGATCACATATCATTTATTATTACAGTCCTCCTATAAGCCCCCTCAATAATTGGATTATAGTGATAATCATTCGTCTATGCATATTTTGAAACTTCAATGAACCAGCTCAACTAATAATATATCCAATGAGTTCAGTTAATTATATATGGATAACTGACATATTCGAACTAACTTCTCAAGTCGTAATGCTCACCATGATAAATTAAGCTAGTAATCGCAATATGTTTCCTTTTATGGTTAGAAAAATGTTCTAGAACAGTCAGACACGATTGTTTACAGATACCAGTTTGGACAAGCAATTAACGATCTAACTGAATGTTCAGAACTAAAATAACAAAGTCCATTGTGATCAAACACCAAATATATTCATAAAATATTCATTCACATAAGACACTACAAAATACGTTAGTAAACACTAGAAGTTGTAATTGTGATAGATGACAATTCATGTTTTTGTTAAAACACAGTCATTAAAGTGTCTTCATTAATTCGTCAACTTCTTTCTTAGCCTATAAATTATCAAAGATGAAAAGTGAGCAAACAATTGTACACAAGACAAAAATTGTTCAATGAGTAAATATGTGTAAAATCGGTTAGAAGTGAGATAATTAAAAAATCATGTCAATGAAATACGACTCTATGAAGGCATCTTAAGAAATGAAGTCAAACTTAATCTACTATCTAGGTATAATGCAGTAATTAATTACAATACGACAACAGTCTGAATGAAAGAAATATTTTATTGACCTAATTCCATTCACCAATCACAAAAGAATCATTTCACAATCTGAAAAATCCCTTTATTTGAAATCATCGATTATTCGAGTAAAATACACATTTGTAAACAAGTCTTTTAGTATTTAGACTTCAACATATCGATTTGCAAACACAATAACTCCTGATATTACACTATGATGACTAAAGCTGTTCACAAGTGCATTCATTCCATCAACAAATCCTACAGTTCTAACACTGAAATCTCAAATCTCATGATCACTGTTAGTTTTTTCATATATCCAAATCTACATTGCTACACAGTTTCAACTAGAATTAGTGTGAACTAGGTGAAAAGCGTCTTGATGATAATCTTCAACTAACTAATGCAATGCCACAACACTTACATCAATCAACATTTATCTACTTACCTCCTCTGCTTCAACGTGCTTTATTGGATAATTGAGTACTTTTTGACAAAACTCTTTTGCTTTGTCTGTTTGTTTTAGACGTGCATAGCATTTGGCCAAAAACGCTAGTGTCATTGCCGATTGCATAGGAGCCACTTCATATTGGTGGTGTTTTTAAAAGAAAGAAAAGAAAATTCAAGTCATTCACTTATTCATTGAAAAGTTCATCAATATTTCTGTATATGCGTACATATCCATCTAGTAGACAATACTTACATTCTTCCGATTTCAACAAATACTTTAATGCCTATATAAAAATAATTCAGTTTCATCAAACAATTTATTCACTACATACCGTTTCATAAGAAAATTCCTTTCCAGTATATTTTGTACCTTTGAACAGTTCTGGTTTTGCATTAAATACATCTGTCATAATAAAATTCCTTGAATAGATGTAATGAAATATGTAATGAGTGCAATCACTTACCACATTCCTATACTGCTAACAGTTATAAAATTATTCGGATCAATCTTCTGTGATTTCTTTCATTATATATATAAATCATCAGATGATTGAATAATACTAAATACATCAACTTACCGTCCATATATCATATAATTGTGAAGCATATTTGAATCTTTCTTCCATACCTTTTAAATTATTGCATTCATTCCATAAAATACCATACCACTAATGAGTAGAATGTAATGATTAGATAAAAAATAACTTGTATGAAAATATATCAAAATACCGTCAAAGAATTAGCATGATTCGGATCTTTTTCCATTGCCTTCTTAGCAGCATTCATGCCTTCAGTGAAATATGATTCACACTGTTCTTTACTTGGTCTCGTTGGAACATAATAAACTAATAACAAGAATAATTATTAATTAATATCATTATTATTAACACAATTGTTCATCAACATAATAATAATAATAATAATAACAATCAGAAAAAGAAGAAAGAACATTACCACAAAGAGAACACGCTCGAGCATATCGCCATAACAATTCAACATCATCGTGTGTTTTCAATGAAGCTTTGAGATAATCATAAGCTTTGTGAATTTGACCTTCTATTGTTAACTTATCTGCTTCTTGACTGATACTGTTCATTTGTGTGTTGTTTTTTTTCAAACTAAACTGCCAAAGGTATAGATTCCATTAATTTCAAATTATTTTTATACTTTTATTTAGCTAGAAGCTTATTTGTTCTTTTCAGACTAATCAGTCAATTGGCACACGAAAGCGAATTCCAGATTATAAGCAACTATTTAATTATAGAAGTGATTCTATTGATTGTCATCTTGTTATTTGAGTATAATGAAATCAAGGTCTGATAGGTTCAGAAAGATGTTGTTTCAATAAGTCAAGGTAACAGTGAAAGCAAGAAGATTTATGTGCCTACATAACTATTTCTCAGAAATCCAATGACAAGATTGAAATAATAATCTATGAGCTCATTGATTAATGATGGTTGCACACAATGTAATCCAAATATGTTGCCACGTCATTAAAATACAATTAAGGTCAGTAAAACTTGGACACGTTTTCTTGCACTTTAATGCAATTTAATAACATAATAAAACATAGTTTAACCTAACACTAACAAAATTCAATTTCTAGCACAATTCAAACAACCCATTGAGAAAATGATTACGAAATTGACTATAAGCATCTGCATACATAATATTAACTACATTGATTCGTGGTCAAATTACATACAACAGTCAACAATGTGTGTGGTATCCATCTCGCCTATCTCGCCCATCTCGTCCATCTCGAGTTCTAAATTGCATTGAGAGAAAAAATAAATTTAAATTAGTTCGATCTAATTTTGTCTGCAGATTTTACTATACCCAAAGTGTGAAGATGTATTTAACCACCTACCTGTATTATTTATTGAACGATTCAATTTCATTGCAAGACTGCACTGGAAATAATCCCTAAACTGACGCTGACATTGATTGCATGAAAGTTCAGAGTAGGAAACCGATATGACTAAATAGAAATTTATGACCTAAACTGAAAGTATTTACTATCATCGATCAACGTTTAGTAAAATTCATATTTGTTAATATGAAGTGCGTGATTCATGACTCGATATTTATCTAGTGTCTTATTGAAGTGTAAAATATTGAGGTTTACAAGTAAAACATTTGATATGAAACCACTAATTGGGTTAAATATATATTGTTGATTATTTCAAAGAACAAGACACCTAATGGTTTTGAAATATTTGTTAGACAAGAGCTATTAAGCACAAGTGTTATGCATACAGATTACGTGGAAGATTTACAGAGATATCTGTTACTTTGCAGTTATATCAGAGGAACAACGTACAAACACACAGTTGGAAGTTAATATAACTGCTTCTAGATGAAACTGAATAATGATCACTGTTCATCTTGATGAAGTATGTACCACTGAAACTTTAGATAATACAAGTTTAACGTTTTGATTTTGATTCTGTAAGACTGTGTCCTAAGCTGAAAGGAGTATCTCGTAATAAATTAAATCCATTAGTATTTATTCCTTAATTTTGTGAAATTTTTTATTTCTAGCTTAATTCACAATTCTGAGATAATAATTAATTTTCGGTATTCAGTAAAAATTGTTGTCTTTCTGGAAAACAGATTTAGAAAGCATATAACATCGATATTTCACTTTTTACTTTGCATAACTTGTATTCGTGTGTATAGGAATATTTGGACAAAGTGATTAACATTTTTGAAAAAGTGTTTAATGTTTCACATTATATCTCATTCTGCTTTACGTAAAATAATAAATCATCTTAAATTACATTGCATAAAGTCTAGCTCGATTTGCTAATTATAGGAGACAATAAGATATTAGTTATTAGTAAATGGAGAATTTGTGGAGATTGTGGAATTTTCATGGTGTAAATCAGGAACTGATATTATGGAAATGCCTGGACGGCAGTATCGTCTCGGTCAAAGATTCTTCAGCAGTAAGCTCAATCCCTAGACGAGTCCCATAATAGGACAATAAACTGTTTAATGCTTCTAGATATTCAGTGTTAGTCTAGCTAAGATCAGCTCAACATTCAAACTATGAAAATTATCAAGTATTGATTAAAATTTAATATCAGTGAAATTAAACATGTTTGTCGAATTTAATGTTAACCAATGTTTACTACAGAACATATACCATAGATAAATTAATCTGTATAATTTTCAATTTTGTCTCATCAACCAGTTTTCCATCATGTTTTACACCAACCGCATTAAATTCAAATGTCAAGAGAAAATAACTGTGTCTAATTTTGTTTACTACTTATTAGTGACAGTTAATTTTTTAATTCCTTTCTTAATTGCAAGTGTAAAACAATTATTTGTATATGTTTGTATGTTGTTTTTTTTCATTACTTGATATGTTTATTAAATTTGTTATTTATTCCATTGAATAGTAAATATTAAAAAATAAGTTTATAAGTTCACCTTTAAATTCTCTATACTTCTTTCTTTCTAACTGAACTGAGATGATTCTATAGAGAAATTATTAGATTAAAAAAATTTCATAGTATTTATGGAAGTCTTGGCTATTCGCCAAATAAAACTCCGCCTTATGTGAATTAAAACAGTTTATTAATATCTTGGATTCACCCTGGTTATTGCTAAGCCATTTTGTGGCCTAGGTTCATGTGACAATTTACAACCCGTTCTTATTTCTTCCACAATACGTTAATTTACTCTCTCCTTCATTTACCTTTTTTATTCTTCATATAAAATGCCTTGACATGTATGTGTACGTGTGACCAGATTGTTCGAAATGTATAACTCAAATACATTAGATTTTTCAGATCAATCACATCTTTTCTCAATTATGTTTGTTCTCATCACAATCTAATTATTAACTGACTTCTTTCTATGCAATTTCAATAATTCTTTTGTCACAATGATTCCAAATTCTATTTATCCACATTTGACCGATTAATTTGAATGTTGAATTGTTGTTGACTAAAACTTTGATTATTTGCACTATTCATATCACTGCTAGTGTTTTTACTATTAATTTGTACTTTTTTAACTATTATGTATAGTTATATAGTGAATTTCATAGTGATCCTTCATTCAGCAATTGCCTTGATCGGTTGAATATCTTCAAATGAATATGTATGTTAGAGTAAAGTGTTATGACGATTTCAGTGAAGACATTATTGATCGATTGTCTCAGTTTTTATTCTATTCGACTGTCTTTGTCAATTGTTCTTTCTAAAAAGTCTCAAAGACAATTCATCATCATCATCATCATCATCATCATCATCATCATCATCATCAAAGTGGACGTAACCGAATTCAACTCAGTTTCTCTATAATTCCATTTTGTAACCTTTTTCTGAACTCTTTTGTAGATTCAAAGCAACCATCACATTGATAGAATTGGTTTGTGCTCACTTGTAATCTAGATATTTCTCTGAATATATGTTTGCTTTTGGTATGATATTCATTTTTCACCAGTCAGTATGTTTCCTTAGTAAAATGGATGCTTTAAGAGATAGACTGTTGATATATCTAGAAAAGTCCATCTAATTCATTTTATTTTATAATGCTGAAGGTGTCGTCTACGTACGTCAGAAACATATTTTCGGTGAATAGTGATACTTTGGGGTTGTACTTGTTTCCAATGAATGCATTGATAATTTTTAGTGCCATTGTGAGTTTAGTTATTTAGATCAGAGCTATGGAGATCAGTGGTTCAGAGGTTAGGAGTTCACGCACAAGACCGAAGGTCCTGGATTCGAATGCTCCGAGTAGCAGGAGTCATGGATGTGTACTGGTGGTGAATATCATACCAGGACAAGAGGGCCGTCCACTGCCTCCAGTTTCTAATAGTGTTCCAATAATGATTGGTTGATGAGTTATTGAACTGAAAAATATATTAGATGCATTTATTTCAGTGAGATTGTCCCTAGTCTCTTCAAAGCATAAGCAACAATGACATTTCTAACCACAGTTCTGTTTTCAATTTTCCAGTTTTTAGCCCCGTTGTAAGCTGTAATGTTTTTTAGTTACAAAAGTAATAATAATGAGCGGATAGCATACATAATGAATTTTATTAATATATGAATGAAACTGATTGCAGTTTAAAAAGAATGATCTACAAGTTTGAGTAAGCTGTGTATATCTAGAGAGTTTACAATAATCTTATTAGACATTAAGTCGATTGAATATTATATTTCCGTTTCTATTCCACAATTTGTATATTTAATAACCAACCAAGAAATTAATTGTATGAAAAAGTGATAGTAGTGCCTGAATAGTCAAGTGTTTTTTCAAACTATTTTATTCTTCATATATACTGATAATAACTCAGCCAGTAGAACCTTAGGGGCTACTGCCGCTCCCAAGCCCGGATAAAGGAGGAGGGTTGGACATGGGGTTGGCGACCCCATTCCGTCGAAATCTCATGCCAAAAAAACGCTAACCAGAAAAAATTATTCAAACCATTTTAACTCTGCCCTGGGAGTTGGAAGAAGAATTACGATGTCTCGTGATGAAAGCCGAGTCCCCTCGGAAGTCACGGGGCCGATGCCTCTTCTGAAAATCAGAGCAACCATTCTTTTAGGTACATGGAACGTTCGTACATTGTGGGAGACTGGAAGACTATTTCAAGTTGCGGCAGAAATGAAAAGATACATCCTCGAGGTGCTCGACATCAGTGAAACGCATTGGACAAAGGTAGGACAACTGAGACTTGCTTCATTGGAACTGCTGTTATATTCTGGTCATGAAGAGGAAAACGCTTCACATACACAAGGAGTTGCACTGATGCTGTCCAAACATGCACAAAAGGCACTGATAGGATGGGAATCTCATGGACCCAGGATCATAAAAGCATCCTTCAAAACAAAGAAAGAGGAAATTATAATGAACCTCATCCAATGTTATGCACCTACCAATGACTACAATGACGACGTTAAAGATCAATTCTACGAAAGGCTGCAGTCAATCGTCGATAAATGTTCATCAAAGGATTTGACGATTCTTATGGGAGACCTGAATGCCAAGGTTGGCATGGACAACACTGGATATGAAGACATCATGGGACGACATGGACTGGGAGAAAGAAACGAAAACGGTGAGAGATTTGCA